TACAAATATACATCAATAATTTTGTCAATTTAATTTTAAATTATTATTTTTATTTAAGATACACGAATCACATAAACATTTCTGTTTCTTTCTTTATTTATTTCTTTCGAAAGAAGATTAATTTGGAAAAGAAGAAAAAGTAAAAAAAAAACAACAAACTAAAAGCCAATAAAAACAATCAATTTAATTTCTCAAGTTTCCGTCTGTATATGTATATATATATGTGTGTGTGTGTTGTAAGTAATCTGATTTTTATTAAAATTCGTTTCTTATTAAAATCGTTTAGAAATAGTTTGAAGTTTGAAGTTCGGTCAGTATGTCACAAGATACGATGGGGGATATCGTAATAGAAGAAAGGTGTTCCATTACAAAGAACGGAACGTGAATAAGGACAAAAGGAAAGGAAAGGAAAGGAAAAGGTAAGAAAATGATTGGATTAAATGTCGAGTAAATAAACCCTAGTTGATCCGAATGCGATCTTACAGTCAAACTCGATAATCTTTTTCAGACACGAGTGCTGTGAAATTTGCACGTGCTAGGATTTCCCGATACTTTTTCTTCTCCTTCACTTTGTACAAACCAATAAAATCGCGAAAACGTGGGCTTTCGCATATATAACTTATTCGCAAAGTTATAACCTTAACCTTATACATATCGAGTAGAATACTTTTTTTTTTTTTTATCTATTTTCTTCATTTTCCTTTCTATTTTTTTGATCATCTTTTCAGTATGCTAATTCGAGGAATGATATAACGCGAAAAGAATTATTTAATACTTTGCTGCATACTTTGACGTGTCACACTCGTGATACTAATTTTAAATCAAATACGAATACCACGTGTCACACTCGTGATATTAATTTTAAACCAAACGTAAACTTCAATAATCATTTGGGAAATAAATTACGTTTAAATTAAACAATACATCACAAAGGTTTGATAATACTTTTTAAAACAATAACAACAAGACAAGAAACGTTTAAAAATTCAAAATAAAATTTACTTTCTTAAACAATAAACAATATTATTATTATATTTACAATTAATCAAAAATTCAATCTTTCTTAACTTAATAATAAAATAATATTGAATAACGTAAAACGTAACATTTCGGTGTTAAAATGAAATAAAACAAAAATCAAAGTTATACATTATTCTAATATTCGTATGATTATCAGGGTTTTAATAATTTAAGAATGAAATTCTCGATAAAGGGGCTAAGAATTTAAAAGCGTTTGTTTCCTAGATAGCTACGTAGATAGGTAGGGCTTTGAGACACGTAAACGTAACAGGTGGTTTGAATTCATACCCTTTTCAAATAGTCACAAGACAGAGTTAGGTTTCCAACATGAATATATTCCAAGAACTTGATCAATTCTATTCGTGCATAGTACGTAACATTAGATAAACAGATATATATACAGTCAAACCTCCTATAACACGGCACTCGCAGATCGCGATTTCCATATAACGCGGTGCTGAAATTGCGACAGCCCTCCTCTAACGCGGTACTCTTATAGCGCGGTTTCCGTTCAAGAACATACCATAAGTTCCTTAGTCACCTGATCAGATTTTTAACGACGATGAAACGGCACTATATTGGAAAAAACTACTATCTAGGACCTTCAGTTCGAAAAATCAAAGGTGTGTTCAGGGGTTTAAACCTTCAAAAGAACGTATCACCCTTCATGTGTGCAGCAATCTATCAGGGAGCCTRATGATAAAACCAATGCTAATAAATCGTTCTTCAACTCCCCGTGTAATGAAAAACATTAATAAGACACAATTGACTGTATTCTGGCGATCTAATAAGAAAGCTTAGATGACTCAAGATTTATTTAAGGATTGGTTTTATAATTGTTTTATCCCGGCAGTCGAAATCTATATGATGGACAAAAATTTGTATTTCAAAGTTTTATTGATTCTTGATAACGCTGTTTGCCACAACATAGAACTGTATCATCCAAATGTGAAAATTGTCTTCCTTCCTCCTAACTGCACGTCATTAATACAATCTTTTGACCAAACAATCATTCAAACTTTAAAAATGTACTACACAAGCCAACTTTTCTAAACCATTTTTGACAGATTGGAAAATAGTGAAATTAAAATTGCTTAGCTCCCTATAKAGAGGTTTTAGTGAAGTTAGAAAAAGAAGTTACAAATGAAAACCAATGCGAAGATGAACCAAGTAAGGAAGACATTTTACCCAATAAAAGAAGACGAGTTAGGCGACTCATATCTGACAGCGAGGATGAGTGCTGAAAGATTACATAATTTTACAAAAGTTTGTCTTGTTTTTGTTGGAAAACAGTTTTTTAGTTTACTTTTTGTTTCATTTTTTTAATCATTTTTCTTATATGAACTCTTCCAATTTAATAAAAATAATTTATAATTTATCTTGTCTTTTGTATTTTTTGGTCTCCATATAACGCGGTACGAATGATGTGATTTGTATTAAAATCTGTGTTTCTTATAGTACTGTTTCCATACAACGCGCTACGAATTAGCTTGGTTTGTACGGTTAAATCCGAGTTTCTTATAACACGGTTTCCATATATAACGCGGAACGCACTTACAGCGTTAAAGGAGGTTTGACTGTATATAGAAACACGGTTTAATTAATATTAAATTACAAATGTTATATTGCAAATAAGATAGAGAAAAATAATATAATAGAAAAGAAAATGATTAAAACAATACAACAAGGGGAAACTTTATACGACTTAGGGTGGTGTTGGTGGTGGTGGGGGGAGGGTTAATAGTTTATATACCGATAGAACTATTCTCACACATTTACCTCTTATTCTATTACCCTTTTTATCTCAATCTTGGACACGAAAATTGTCTAGGAAATCTTTACGCGAGTTATTGCACCATTCTATTGCTGTATTTTCTTCCCCTTTAATCGTCCAACCGCAATTAGACTTTTACTCGTTCACGTTTTCCCCAATTACACGCACACACCTGTGACACCGAGAAACATTAACCGAAGAAGATCTTTTTTTTTTTCTTCTTCTTTTTTTCTTTTCTTTATTACCTTTCCTAACTGAGTTATATATATATATATATGTATATATTATTTTTCTTACGAATTCTTTTTAATCTTTCATTTTCACACCTATCTAACTATCTACCGAATAACATCCTTATCTAACGGAGACAGGTGAATTATCTTTTTTTCTTTTCTTTTGTTAATAACAAATTTATTCGCGATAACATGGTACAAGGTTAGAAAATCTTTTCTTTATTTTGTCTCTCAACATAGCATAGATTTGTATTTTATTTCGATGGAATTTGAAATTTTCTTTTTTTACGATTTTTCGGTGTGGGTGTGGGTGTGATTGGGGGGGACGGGTCGGGGGAGGAAGGGGAAAACCTCATTCGATCAAATGTATATTATATTTTCTTTTTATATGTATAGATTTCTTTTTATTAAACCAATTTATTCAACGATTTATCGATACCCATCTGCTATGTATATATTTCGTAGCATGGAAAAAGGTTTTTTTTTCATGTAATATTATTCTCTTTTATTTTTATTAACATTTGTTTCGATACGCGTATCACGAAATGCCAAAAGAAAACAAAAGAAATCGGATGGAAATTTGATTATATTTTTGAGGTTAGGTTCGATATATTTAAAATGCGGTGAATGAAATATTTTACTGTAATAAAAGTTTGTAACACGTTAAACAAGTATATTATCGTGTTTGAAACTCATCTTTTTGTTTTTCTTTTCTTTCTTTTTTTATTCCTTTGTCAAACGTTCCTCGTTTAATCTTTGTACAATTTTGTAATTTGGTGTAACTCTCGTTAATTCGAAAATTACTTAAAAGCGTTATGATTGCACAAAGAATTAAACTTCATTCAGGATAGATTTCTTTTCTTTCTTTTTTCTTTCTTATTTTTTATCAAAGTTATATACGTTTATATTGGAAATTTAAACAAAGGATTATATACGTTAAACATTAAACTTTAATCGTAGTTTAAGTATCCTTTATTACAGTAAAATATTGAATTCGTTTTAAGGTTAGGTTGGTTATTTGAAAATGGCAGACCGATGATGATAGTCAAGTTTCTTCGATATTAAGTAGTTTCTCATTAAAAATTTGTAATTTCCATTTAGCTTTTAGAACGGATATTAGAAATCAAAGTGAAATCTCCGGATTGGACGTCGGGGACAGAACTTTACGCCAACTTACAATATAACTAGTAAGTGAATTTAATTTCTTCTTTGTTTTTCATCCATCGTTTGAATATTTCACGAATGAGTAGAATTTTTTTGGGGTTTTTTGTACTGTATGTATATATATATGAAATAAAACAATTAAACCCTTTGTATTATATAAATTTGTATATACTATTATACCGTTATATTAACGTACTTTTTTGAAATATGAACACTCAGAAATAATGAATTTGGAATAATCTCGTAATTGTTTTTTTTACTGTGGTAAAATGTGTTTATTTTCTTTTGTTTTGTTTTTTTTTTTTGCTAGAGTTTCTTTTCTATCAATAAAAATTATTATTATATTTATCAATCGTAAATATAATTTATCGCGTTTAGTATAATTTCGAACGATATACGGAATACCTGTTGCGTCGAGATTCGTAAGGAACGTTGGGGTTTATATCCCACGAGAAACTTCGATTAACTTCGTGCTTTATCTTTTCTATTTATTATTTAATTTTACTCTCTTTTGTTTTTTAATTGAACAATTACCCGTTGCATTATTTTTAATCACGGAAGATTCATTGACTATAAATAATGAACAAAATTGTTTTAAAGGGGTTAACATTTATGTAAATTGTTAAAACAAAAAAAGGGAGACAATGTATTTGCAATTTTCTTTTTCTATTTAATCAATGGTGTTATTATAAAATAGTATAGATTGCAAAGAAGAAATAATAATAATATTTTGTGTGTTTCTCGCTAAAAATTAATAATAAAATCAATGATAAATAAAAAAGAAACAAATCCTATTTATTAACTTTTGGAAATTCAGTTGACAAAATATCGTTGACAAATTTCGGTTTAATTATTAATGAGAAAATGATTTCAATTAATACGCGTTTGAAACACGAAAGCTCATAAATCTTGAAAATGATTTATTTTATCGAGTATTGACATTTAAATTTTAAAGAACTTAAAGTATATTTCGAAAAGAAAATTCAATAAAAAAAAGAGTCAATATTTTGTGAAAACTTTGATAAAAGTATTTTCCATCAATATTAAATATCACAATTGACAAAAGTATACTTTAAATTATATAAAAAAATATAAAAAACAAAAAAAGAACATTGTAAGTATTTTATTTAAAATATAAAATGATTAGAAATGAACAAATTCATTTAAACGATTCAATTTAAATGTCATAAAGAAAGAAATTCCGAGTCACGATTTAGATCGACAAATTGAATTTGAGGTTAGCCGAATAAATTGACGTCACGTGATACGCATGCACACGTACGTGAAAAGAGGGAAAAAGTAAGAATGTAAATCAAGAAAATAATAGAAAATAAAATAAAAGAAATAATATGAGTACATAAATAATCTACGAATAATGTTCAGTCGTTTAAACTCACCCCTTTTGTTTTCGATGCCAAAAAATGTGATGCAACAGGCTGCCGGAGTATTCGCACAACGACGATGCGGAAACACGGGCTTCCTTTTTTTTACGTTTTATTATTTTCCTTGGAGAATTCAAAAATTTATGTCGCCAACAAAAAAAATGAAAAAAAAAAAAAAATAAAAAGATAGACAAATCTATATATACATATATATATTCGTAAAGAATTAAAACAATTAAATGTAATTATAAACAACAATGAAATAATAATTCAATAATATACGAATTATGCACAAAATCAAACAGTTTAACGATGAAGACAAAATTTTGTTATATATATATATATATATATATATTTATATATACTATATATATATATATATATATAGTAACTCCTCGAGTAGTCGATGATTGCAGTGATAGTGGCGAGTATCCTGAAGCAACAGCCCTTAAATACGCACGATCCTGACTGCCATGCGCGTTGTTCCATAGGACGACAGAGAAATAAGTACTTCCCATACGCATGTGTCTTCCACCCCTTCCAACCCCCATCCCTTACCTTCATCTTATTCTTATACGTTACTTACGTTAACCTACCTATCTTGTTTGACATTACTTTTTTTTTTTTTTGACCTTTCTTTTATTTTCCTCTTATACAAATTTTTATGTTAATTTTTTCATATGCGATTGGAATAGGGGGGGGGGGTATTGGGGTGTTGGGGTTTAAAAGAAGAAGTCGATTAACGTGATCAGAGATACGTAAAAAAATAAAATAAAAAATGTAAGTATGAATTATTTAAGATTGGATTTTAGTCAAATAATTGATAATCTTTTTTAAGTGTTTTTTTTTATTCTTCATTTTAATATTTTTTGTAGGTACTCGAAAATGGGGGACAAAGAAAATTTGATAATGAAGATTGAAGGATGTTTTGTCACTATGGATAGGGGTGAAGGGTGGAGTCAGGGGGCAGGGGTGGGAAAAAAAAAGAAGAATTGACATTTTGTCATATTTTTCGTAGTTTATTTTTACGATCGTAAAAGGACCGATTAATTTGTAGGACACTTTAACGAATCCCATGGTGCGCTATCAATTAATAAAATAATAATCGATTGAGCCATGGTGTTTGTTTTACGATGATATTATATTTTTACGCTTTCGAATCGTGTATTTATTTGTCCTTTCGTTAAAGTAATTACAGATAGTTCTTGTTGGTTGGTTTTTTATTGTATTTTATATTAAAATATAATTAGAAGTAAGATTCTATAGTTAAACGTTAAGTATTAAATTATAAATATGGGGAATATATTGTTTAACGATCTTTGATTGTTTATCTCGATGACATTTTTTTTTTTAAACATCACACACAACGTTTAAATAATTTAATAATTAAGGGAAGTATATCAAAATTGTGTTGAAAAAAATTGATCCAAAAAAGTATCATTCATATTTTTAGTTATTT